TGAATGAAATGTACGCAAACAAAACAGAAACCAAACAAAATGCCAACAAACCATCAGATGCTGTAGAATTCCAGACAGGGAAAAAGTCACACATCAGGATACTCTGGAAACAATGGCACTTACATTTCTGGCAATTCCTGCAGTCAGGTGGTGTGTTGGTTATGAGGTATTGTCTCAGCTCCAAACCTACCTCCTATGCTCAGCTTCCAGGTTCCTGCTGAGATGCTGGAAGTCTTCTTCCCCTGCAGCTGCCTGTTAGGTTCTGCCGGTAGGAGGCATGATGAGCCTTGTTGTGGGAGTGAAAAAAAGAAAAAAAAAAAAATGAAACCACTGCCAGAGTGAAGCACCACTGCTGGGATGACACAAACAGGGACAACCAGCAAATAGGAAACATCAAGACACCTCTCCTCCAGCCTTCCAGGTTCCCTCTAGTGTGTCCTTCCTCTAAGCTCAGAGGTCCTGGCCCCATCTGGGCAACGGTCCCTTCTTGAGGTCTGAGGCTCAGCTCTTTGAGGCCTCTTCCCTGAACCTCTAAGTTCTATCAACCCCAGCTGCTTCCCCTTCTTCTCTAGTCCTAGGCGTGAGAACTGCTCCCTGCAGCTATCTGTGTGTTGCCAGGATATCCCCTTTTTACGTCTTCAGTCCTCTAATATCTATGGGACTAGTTATTCCCTGTGTTAAATTCCCTCTGGCCAGGCACGGTGGCTCATGCCTGTAATCCCAGCACTTTGGGAGGCTGAGGCATGCGGATTGCCTGAGGTCAGGAGTTCGAGAACAGCCTGGCCAACATGGTGAAACCCCGTCTCTACTAAAAATGCAAAAAGTAGCTGTGCATGGTGGCACACACCTGTAATCCCAGCTCCTCTGGAAGCTGAGGCAGGAGAATCACTTGAAACTGGAAGGTGGAGGTTGCAGTGAGTGGAGATTGTGCCATTGTACTCTAGCCTGGGCGACAGAGTGAGACTTTGTCTCAAAAAAAAAAAAAATTCCCTCTGACTCTGCTCAGTACATGAGTGTGGATTTCATGTGTATCTGTAAAGGGTTATCCTCCTTTAACCATGAGAAATCTTTTCAATTAGAGTTCTTATGAGCTATTGTAGAAGATCCCTGAATCAAGAGTCAGCAAACCAAGGTCCTAGTCCCAGTGCTGTCACTGGGTTTCATAACCTCACCCTCAATTTATCTATCCATGTACAGGGCATGAGAGTACCCACCTCTCTCCTGGGATATGCAGAGGAATCACATGGGATAATGAATGGATATGAAAATTGTTCCAATGCCTGCATATACCTTGTAGATATAAGGTGGTGCTGTGATGTGTGAATTCTCTTGGCTAAACACCAGTTATAGGTTAGAGACCTAGAATTTGTGTTAAAGAAGTAGTAGCCTTTGAATGCCTGCCTTTGTTAGCTATTGCATATTTGTTAAACTTACTTTCAACTAAATAGAATTAAATAATTTATTTCTTCAGTGGTCCAAGCCATAACAGAGGAGCACAGCCAAACTTCGCCAGCCCCAGGAGGGTGAGAGTCTAGCCTGGTGACAGGTCATTTGTGGGAGACACATCCTTTCCATCGAAACTTCTCTCCCCCATCTCTCCACCCTACTCTCCTTCTCACCCACTCTGCCAACTTCACTGGCCCTATGGGCACCCAGAGCACAAGCAGCTGGTTAGCCTGGATCCCTCCTCTCTGAGATGTTCCTGCACCCCATCACCTCACTTCCTTCAGGACTCCAACAAGTCAGGTCATCCTGAATATTTAAAAATTTCTGTTAAATTATTTTTGCTGTTGTTGTTGTTTGTTTGAGATGAGTCTTGCTCTGTCACCCAGGCTGGAGTGCAGTGGCACAATCTCGGCTCACTGCAACCTCCACCTTCTGGGTTCAAGCGATTCTCCTGCCTCAGCCTCCCGAGTAGTTGGGATTACTGGTGCATGCCACCATGCCTGGCTAATTTTTGTATTTTTAGTAGAGACAGAGTATCACCATGTTGCCCAGACTGCTCTCAAACTCCTGAGCCCAAGCAGTCTGCCCACCTGGGCCTCCCAAAGTGCTGGGATTATGGCATGAGCCACCACCCCTGGCCAATTTCTGTTAAATTTTACCTTCATTATTCTCTAATTTTAGCTTGCTTCATTTCTGCCAGTGGCACTTGTCACTATTTTCTACGTTCTCCATTGGGAGTGTATTCCCCGTTAGGATGAGGACTTTGTCTATTTTGTTTGCCATTATATTCTCATTATCTGAAATAGTGCCGGGCGTGTAGTAGGTTCCAAAAAGTACATAACAGATCATTGAGTGAATTTAACAAGTAGACACTATTGATGCTGCTGTGCCAAATATGTCCTCCCTGAACTTGAAGTGGAAGGATGTGCAGAGGCAAGTATACAGACATAGATGCCTGGTGCTGCTGTTTTGCAGGAAGATTTGTCCAACCTGCCGTCTTCATTTTGAATTTTTTAATAATTCTGGACATTTTGGTCCTAAAGAGGACCAGATTTGAAGTCACCTGATCTCAAATCCCGTCTTCACCATTACTTGCTGTACCTCTGATAAATGCTCTAACCTCCCTCACCCTTGATTTTCTCATCTGTGTAATGGGAAAATACTTGTTCTGCCTGCCTGGGGCTTTACATTTATTGTGAAGATCAAAGGAAATGAGCTTTTCCCCCTCCCACAGTGTGTTGGAGTCTGGATTCTTCTGGCATTTCTCTCCTGGCCACTATCCTCTGATGCAAGTTGAGAAATGTGATCTTTGTTTCCTGTCCAACCCTAAAGATCTAGAAGGTGTGGATCCATCACAGAGAGTTACACAACATTTTCTACCCAGATCCCAATTGAAGAAAATCCACAGGAAGACAAGGCAGGCTCTTTTATTTATTTCTTATTTTATTTTTTTTTTGAGATGGAGTCTCCCTGTGTCACCAGGCTGGAATGCAGTGGCACGATCCCAGCTCACTGCAACCTCCAACTCCCTGGTTCAAGCAATTCTCCTGCCTCAGCCTCCTGAGTAGCTGGGGTTACAGGCATGCACCACCACTCCCAGCTAATTTTTGTGTTTTTAGTAGAGATGGGGTCTCACCATGTTGGCCAGGTTGGTCTTGATCTCCTGACCTCATGATCCGCAAGGCAGGCTCTTTTCATCCTACCCGTAATGACTAGTCCATCATTACCTCAGAAACTTGATCATCAGCCCGGTAGCAGATATCCCTCCCCAAAGCTGATGAAACAGGGAAGAGAGGAAGTATCCAAAAGAAAAGGGAGGGAGGTTTCTCTAAAACAAGACCGAAGAGAAGGACATTATTGTTTAGAGAGAAAGAAATAATTGAAAGTTTCTGAAAATTGAGATTTCTTCATTTCAAATGACCTTATTAGCCTGAAAAAGCACACACACAAAAAAACTCTTCCTTACATAATAGTAATGGTGGGAATCAAAATGAATCCATAGATGGTGGATCCAGGTGGGAATGCTGCTACACGATAGTAGAATTGTTCTGGGAATCTACAGTGGGGAAGGATCAGTTGTAGCAAAAAGATTCAGAGTTGTACAGAGGGACCATGTCAGCAGTGATCACTTTTCAGTAACCATCCTTTCCTGATCGTCATTTTAGCATCACTGTTTGGCAAGACTGTGGATGGCGGGAGTGGATA